TCTCTCTCTCCCCATCTCTTTTCTCCTTTTCTTTCTGTATTTTAAGGAAGGTTCTACAGGGTGTGGTCCACCTGTTTACAGCCTCTCAAGAGCTGTAACATTCTTTCAAAGTTAAACTGACACACTCAACAATGGGTGGGAAATGAGAAACACAATGAGTGAGTTCTGAGAATTCTGTGAAGTCCTCATCATTGAAGTTATTTAACTTTCAGTTGAACTTTCAGCTGTTCATATTTCACAGTCCTATTTGGCAGACTAGGTTTCTTGGCTCATGCTACAGAATCCCAAGGACAGGTTGCACTCTGGGCTGTTGGGGCTGGCCAGCTTTTCATTAGCAGGTGTCCAGTCTTGTTTTTAACCGCCTAAGCCTGGATGTCAGACACACACAGTTTAGTAAATAAGATGCTATTTTTCTTCTAAAAACACTTTAATTGTGTTTTCAATAATATTTCATGCTATGTGTTAAAATTTCCTACTAATTTAAAATTTGTCAGGGCTTTAAGAATGGTTATTTCAGAGGGAAACAGTATCAATTACAACCTTTTGTACATAAGACCTTCTCTATACCCTATAGGATAAACAGAAAAGAATCCATAAGCTTCTCCTCTTTCCTTCTAGACCTTGCAGTATTTGTGAATATATGGGGCACTTATGCAAGTAATAGTGGTTCAAAACAGCCTTGAAGATCATAATACAAAGGATAAAGACAACCAACTTGTAGGAGCTGTTTGTTTGTTTGTTAGTTTGGGTTTTTTGTTTTGTTTTGTTTTGTTTTGTTTTGTTTTTTGAGACAGGGTCTCACTATGCAATTCAGGCAGCCTTGAACTTACTATGTAGCCCAGGCCAGGCTCAGACTCACAGTGATCCTCCTGCTTCATCCTCCCAAGTGCTGGCATTGGACTGGGGTGATAGCTCAGCATCATCAGCACCTGCCTGGCAAGCGCAAGGCCCTGAGTTTGACCCCTGGTACTGCGATTTAGAAGGTTCAAGCACTGGCATTACAAGCCTGAGCAACCAAATCCAGCAAAGAGTTGTTTTTTAAAAAATAAAAATAACAACAGACTTTAACCTGAAGGCTACAAAAGGATCATTTGGTTCAAGTGAAGTTTTGAAGATTAGAGGGGTTTCCGGGGAATAAGAAGGGGAAAGGTGTGGTAAACTATGATGTTGGGGAGGGAGAAGGTAAACAGAAAGGTTACCACTTGGGGCACAGCGAGTGACTTAGCAGGGAACTCTGAGTAAGGAAAAAATGCAGTCAACCCTGGAGACATAGTATGAGCAAAATGCAGTCAAAACCAGGGATGGGAAAACATTCAACCCATTAATAAGAATACAGAACCAAATACACTGGTTTGTGGGAGAGCATAACTTCAGTTCACCATTAGGTATCATGTCATAGTAGATCAGCCAAATAAGATTAAAAAAATAAAAATGTGTTTTCAAACTCTGGCCCCATCGAGGTTGATTTTGCTTTTTTTTTTTTTTTTTACATTTTTTTAGGCTGAGCTGCAATTGCACTGTTTGATATTAGCTGTCACTTAGGAAGAATTAGGATCCTTAAATGCCAGAGGCAGGAAAGTCTCTAGGAGACTTTCACGTAATCCAGCATGCCAGTGAGTTAATTTGAGGTCCAAAATTAAATGAGTAGCCTAATGTAACATACTCTATTAATGACAAAGATAATACACTCATCTATTATTTCATCCATAGACCTTAAGTATAAGTCCCAGGTCATAATGAACAGTTTTATAAAACTTTATCACACTTTTGGGTACCTCCATCTCCCCTCCCTGTCTCCAACTCATCACTCTCCTTTAATAATTAATATATCATATTTTTAATGTTTTTAGAATTGATATAATCCTATACACACCCATCTGTTTTATGTTTTATGTGCTGACATAAGCACACAGAGTGTTTTAGATGAGTGTTTTACAAAAATGAAAATGTAGACAGTCTTTTGTACACCTTGATTTTTTTTCACTTGACCATGTCTTACCAAAATTTTTGCCAAGTGAAAAATCAGAGTCTAGCTAGTTATTTGTTGCAATAGTTGCTTAGTGTGTGACAGTAGGGTTATGTCACGATATGCCCTAGCATTCCGTGTATTCATTAGGATTGGTTTGCGTCATTTTGCTTCTATGAGTAGCACTTCAACAAACCTTCTTGTCCCTAGATCTACAAAGCTGGCATTTTATTTCTGTTGATAAGAGTTGGTGTCACTGGGTCAGGGAAATGTGTGTTAGTTTTAAAAACTAAACTTGCTCCACAAAGCTACAGCAATACATGTGTTTATAATTAGTAAAAATTCTTTTACCAGGTCCTCTTAGGCAATAGTGTTATCTTTTTCATACTTTTTGCAAGTGCAGTTGATATAAACACCTCACTGTTAATTTAAACTTACTTGGTACAAATGAATCTGATCTTGCATAAGCTTGTTGATTATTTTAATTTCTCAGTGTGTAAGCTGTGTTTTCATATTCTTTATGGGATTTTTCCAATAGAAAGCTGTTTTGAGGGCTTTTTTGGTTTTGATTTTGGTACTGGGAAGCAAACTTAGAACCTTGCACTTTCCAGGTTCTAACTCTTTTAATTTTAAGAGTTCTCATTATGTTATAGATATTTTCCTGTTCTCTAAAACATCAAACATTTTTCTCAAATCTATTCTATTTTTATTGTATCTTTTGCCCTGAAACAGTTTTCAACTTCAGTCAAATTTTCTAATACAATTTCTGCCTCATAAAAAAAAAAAAGCCAGCCACCCTGCCCCTAGATTATCCTGATGGTCTCTAGATTTTTTGAAAGGGTTTTAGTTTTATTTATCTTACATTTAACCTTTGATCCATCTAAGCTTTACTTTTGAAACTGGTACAAGATAAGGCTCTGATTTATTTTTTTTTCCTCCAGATGAATAGTTTACTACCCCCTTATATTAAATAACTCATCCTTTGCTACTAAATTGTCACATATTAAATCCTCCTTTATTTGGGATCTATTTCTTAATGTTTTATTTCAGATATTCTCTATCTATTTGGGCCTATTTTAATACATACTGATTTAATTAGAGTACCTTTACAAGATTTTCTTCTTTTTTTTTCTGTATTTTAGGGAAGGTTCTACAGGGTGTTCAGGGTCTCAATACTAGATCGGACTCATTGTGATCAGCCTGTTTACAGCCTCCCAAGAACTGGGATTACAGGTGCGTGACACCATGCCCAGTTTCAATCGCCACCTCAGCGCACCCCGGGGGTGGAGACAGCACGGTAGGCCTGGGGATCAAACCTCCAATCCTTGAGACTGTTGGCTGGTGCTCTAATTCTGCTGAGCTATTTGGCCAGCCAAGATTTTCTGATTTCTGGTAAATCAGATTACATAAGTGACTTTTGAGGTAGTTATCAAATATAAGTGTTTATACTAAACTCTATTTCTATACAGCAGTGGGATGCACACATAAATTAATATATCAAAATAATGGTTATTTAATCTAAATATTTTTTTCAAAATCTTTCTTCCCACAGTCTATTTTCCATCAACAGATTGGAAATAAAAGGTTTAATGTGTTTACATGTGATTTTATATATGGCAATTGGATACACTTTTAGTCTGGTGAGGTATCATATTAATGGAACTGTTTTTCTCATCCCCAGGCTAGTCCTTCAGAGGAATCATCCCTGACAGCATCCTTACCTGAGCTCTGACCACATCCCAGTAGAAACACTTCTCAAGGGAGAGTGCTGGTGAGTCCTTAGAGAGGAATTCCATGGGGACTGTACCTGACCCTCTGAGATCCACAAAATCTTCCCTGACTGCAACTGTGGGAAAAGAAGAGCCTTACAAACTGCAGACTCCCTCAACACAACACCAAGCAGCCCCCGTGGATAAGGGTACCAATGGCCTTGCGGGCTCGCCTGCAGAACCCAGCCTCTGTCCCACAGCAGCTGCCAAGGCTGTGATGCAGGCTTGCGAGCATGAGACCTCCCAGCCGGACATGTCCTCTCCTGGTGTCTTTAATGAGGTGGAGAAAACGTCTCCCACATGCAACTCTCCCAGTGATTCCCAGCTGTCAGGCAGTGCTGAGTCCGTAGCACCAGACCTGAGTCCTGCAGGTGAAAAGTATCTCATCCAGACATCATTGACAATGCCAGCCCACCAGCACACTCACCCCACCACCCCAGGTGATCAACCCAGTGCCAGTACCTCAGGGGCACCTGAAGATTCCTTGGTGACATCGCAGACAACCTCAAATGGAGAGCAACCTGAGAGGTCAAGCTGTCCTGCACTGGGCATCTGTGGCAGCAACAAAGGAGGGCTCTGTCATTTTCCTCCTGAAGAAACCATCCAGGGAATGGCACAGACTCCATGTACTGCAGCCATGGTGTCTAGTCCTTCGTCCTGTACTGCAGGGGGACAAGAAGAAAGGCAGCAAGCATTCTGTGACACCACAGCTAGGTCCTATGCACCTCCAGCAGGAGACGATGGATGTCCAGAAAGCAAGCAGCCCCCTACCACTGCCTCCTCAGACAGCCACAGTGTAACACTGGAGACATCTCATCTACCCCACCTCACTAGCAGAGGTTCGATGTGTCCACCAAATCCAGAGAAGGAGCCGTTGGTGGCACATGTGTTGTCAAAATTCAAAGAAGCCAGCACGATGACCAGCCAAGTGGAAAGTGAGATCAAGACAGTCCCCAGCAGGGCCCAGCAAGATGCTGAGGTACAGGCAGTAGCGAGCGTTGAGAGCAGATCTGTCTCCACCAGCCCCAGCATCTTCACTGCATTCTTAAAGGAAATCCCTGCCCCTAAGCTTTTGGAGCAACAAGAGCAACTGCGTGTCATTTGCCAGGGCAGTGGCAGTGGGAGCCATGTGTTCAAGCTCTCTAACAGCATGCCAGCCTCCCAGGAGTCGGGTCAGTGCCCTGGCACCATGCCACAGGTGTATATCCAGGCAGCTTCAGCTGTTTCTGCAGCTGTCCAAGGGAAACATAAACCTGTGGGTCTACCAGAGGAAGTCCTTAAAACTGCATCGATTAACACAGCCTGTAGTTATGCCCAGGATGTGTGTACAGAGGAAGGGAAGTCAGCAGGACTGACCCTAGCAAAGGAAGAATCCACCTCTAGACAGCTTTCAAGTCCTAATTCTAGCTCGTTGAAGTCTAGTCCCACTGACCAGATTTCTAGCTTTGCAGACCATGAAGCTGAAAACAGTCATGGTTTGGAAAAATCTGAAACCAAGCTCTCTGAGTTTGTAGTGAAAACAACAAATGACTACAAAATGGGCTCAAATTGCAAACAGTTTGATTCCTGCACCAGCAAAGATGACCAGCCCGGGAGTTTGGAGCCCGCTAATAAGGAAGGCGCAAAGGAGAAGAAGCCTGAGTCTCCTCGGATAGTAAAAGAACAAGAGTCTGTTGGCACCGGTGCTCTGGATGCCAAGACACTACTGCTCAATCCCAAACTCCAAGAAAACGGAGGCACAGGATCCACGCCCTCCCCACTGAAGAAGAGCCAGGAGGGCATTTCAGAAGACAACCGACAGACCAAGACAGCCACGAGCCTGAGCTTGCCATCTGATTCCATGGGGGATTCCAGCCCAGGTTCTGGCAAGAGAACCCCTAATCGCTCAGTCAAAGCCAGCCCACGCCGGGCCAGCCGCGTCAGCGAGTTCCTCAAGGAGCAAAAGCTAAATGTGACAGCAGCTGCCGCTCAGGTGGGGCTCACACCAGGAGAGAAGAAAAAGCATCTAGGCTCAGACTCCAAGCTGAAGCAGTCCAAGCGTGTCAGGGACGTCGTGTGGGATGAGCAGGGCATGACCTGGGAAGTGTATGGTGCCTCCCTGGACCCAGAGTCCCTGGGAGTCGCCATCCAGAACCATTTACAAAGACAAATTAGGGAACAGGAGAAATTAATCAAAACACAAAGCGGTCAGCCCCGGAGATCCATTTCCTCAGATTCTTCTTCAAATAAGAAGCTCAAAGGCAGGCAGCAGAGCGTTTTCCAGTCAATGCTGCAAAACTTGCGGCGCCCTAGCTGCTGTGTCCGTCCTGCCCCTTCCTCCGTGCTAGACTGAAAGGAGCCCAGGGATGCAGCTGTGGTATTCGGGAGCATCCATCCGTGCTAACGCTTGCTTAGCTTTCTTCTGAAAGACCAGGGAGAGAAAGCAAGTGTTAACTATATTGACTTGCTTTAAAAACTGTTGTGTCCTTTGACTGAAGGCCCATAAATAAAAATTCCATTTCAATTTGAAAGAGCAAGCTTCACTGAAGGGTTGCAACCTTAATCAAGTGAAAATAATATTCAGTGGGTTATAAAAAATACGATGTTGCTTATAGAAATAACATTACCATTGTACATGTGTTATTTTGTATTACTGCCTCAATTTATCACATGATGGTATTTCCATTAAAAAATCCTTGCTTTATGTTAAAAAGAAAAAAAACACTACTAGCAAAAAACTTACACTTTGCAGTCCTATTCCAGTAAGAACATTGTTACCACAAAAAAAATTAAATAGGTGATAAGAACCATAGTGTGATAAAATTTAAACCAATTTGATTTATTCCTAGGCCAGATATCGTTAAATAAAAGCATCGAAATGTATAAAATATCAAATATGAATTAGCATTTGTAAATCTCCACAGACAACCCTTTTACAAACCTTGTTATACATACAGGAAAGTAATATTAGGAAAATTAAGCCTTTGAATATGAATACTATCTACATAAAACATGGATTTATCTGTACACATTTTCCTGTGCAGAAGGCAAAGTGCATCTCTGTGATTCTGAACAAATTAAATTCCTATTTTCTTACCCCAGAGAAAATACGTGGAACTGGATTCTTGAAAAGAATCATCAAATTAGGGCTAATGTAAAATTTTATATTATCCTAAAATATGCCACCGGGAACATTACCATTCTGATAAGGAATAGTAAGTAGCAGATTACCAACCAGTTTTTCTGTGTCAGTCAGAGGCAGGCCTCATGAGTAATAGAAATAATATATTTAATCTAAGTTCCTGTAAACAGCATGAATTTCTGTTTCTCTTTTGATTTGGTCTTGTAGCTTCTAATAACAAATGTAATCAACACCAAATGGAACACAGGCTTCCTTAGATGAGACAAATACCACTTAGTTTCATATGTCTAAGATCTGAAGTAAAAAGATAATTTCTAAAAATGTATTGAAGTTAAGAGAGATACAATCCTATGTCAGCCTTCCTCAGCAGAAAGGTCTTTGAGAAACCATACTTTGTGCTTTGGAGTCCCCTGAGAACACGAGTGCCTGCTGGAGCATAGCCCTCTCTTATTTCTAAAGGAGGGTGTCCCAAGGACCCAGGAGTATCTACCAAGGCCTTGGGGACCAGTGCAAGGTGGAGTATTGGAGAACAGAGGCAGGACTCAAAGCACCGGAAAGGCTTTCCTCCCTGGAGTCATTGTAGTAGCAGCCCGGATCTCCACCTTGCATGTAAAAGATGGTTAAATGTTGTGAACATGCTAGGTATCCTCTCTGAATTCCTCGTCCCAGTGAGCCAGCAGAGAATATCTGGCCAGGTCTTATTTTTCCTAAGAGATTCAAGTACCATTGGTACCACCAGTTCACAATACCTATTCTGGCTTTTTTTTTTCCAATTCAAAGAGGGAAAAAAAATTGGACCTGAACTTTAGCACCGCAGGCCACACTGGGCCCAACCCAAATTAATAAAACAGCTTTGATTTCTTGCAAAGCAATTTAACTGTATATGCAGCCTGCATAAGTAGACACAATGACAGCATTGACAGCATTCTCACAGCCTGAGAATGGTAATTACAGTTGTTATATGTAGAACTTATAATGAAGTGTATAATAAGGCACATTTTTCAGTTTCTTACTAATTGGCCTCTATTAAGAATGCTATCTAAAGTAGAAATTACCATCAAATTACTATTAATGATTAGAAATTTAGTTTAAAACTCTCTTATGGCCTTAAGTACCCATTTATCAGAGATGCCTTTTATGAGGATATAATCTGTCTTCTCTCACTCTCGGGCTGTCTCTGGCCCGGCTAGCACACGTGCTGTGTACACACACGGTCCACCCTGTGTATACAGGGGCAGCTGTCAACAGGGCCCGCTCCAACTGGGTGGGCCCCAGGTAATCCTCAGCTGTGAAGTAGCTAGAACAGGATGTTCCTGCATGAAAACAGAGAAGAAAGGAGTCAGCATCCGGCAATAATATTTATTTTCATGAGTTTAGAGTAACCACCTGATTTATAAATAGTTAATTGAAGCAGAGGCCTAAAGACAGTTGTAGGCATCAAGGCCACATTAAGTAAACCAAAACTGCTCATTTGATATCATAGTTGTGTCTCTCAAATGAAATTGTCAAGAAAATAATGTTCAAATTAGTACGTTTGGTTTTCTTTGGTGCTAGAACTAAATTCTTGACTTCTGTAACACTCTAGAAATTGTCAAAAAATAGAACAAAACCTTTTTGTTTTTTTGCTTATTGAATCTTATAGAACTAATAGCTTTTAGAAACAGATCATCAAACAGATAAGATAGGAACCTATTTAAGATAGTGTTTTGACAATAAATGCTTGTTTGAAATTTTCCTTTCACTTCAGTCTGCAACACAGCATCAGAAGTTTCACACATCATATGAGATGCCTTTGGTTCATGTAACAGAGGCCCTTAGGCAGTCCTTTCCCTGGCATTGCCAGTGAGCTTTCTCCTTTAGTCCATGCTTTACCTGAACGACACATATTGACTTGAAAGTAATTTGGTTTTCCAGAATAGCTTTTGCATATGATTTGGTCCTTGTCCATGTGTCTTTGTTTTTTAAATATATATAAGAAATATTTCATTAAATCAAGATATAGAAAATAGTTCTTTACCCAGTAATAAAAGAGTGAGTTAGATGTCAGTACTTGGGAAGATCACTCAACATTTATAATTTGATGATGCTGTACCATTTACAGAAATTTTAAAAGATACATGATTCTATTTTATGACCACAAGAAAATAATATCATCACTTCATCTATGTCTATCTTGAATGTTTTTCTAATTATGTGCTCTCAGATTATTGGCTCTTGGGTCCATAGGCCAACTACTTTACATACAGTAAAATCCTGATTTCTCCTTTTGTTTTGGGCCTGTGGCTTAAGTTGAAGATTCTAGTAACTCAAGGTTAACCATAAATCTCTATATTTGTGTCCAAAGTGAAACATTTATAAAGTATATTAATATGTTTTCCTACCTTGACAAGTTCAATAGTATTGAATGTGATTTCGTCATGGATAATGTTTAATCTTCAGAATCATCTGATACTATTATTTTGGATAATAGGTTAAACATGAAAAGTCAAAAAATTGGACTGAGTTTACATGTGCAACATATAACCTAGAGGTTTAATTTTGAAACCGAATTCTTAACAGGAACTTCATGTCTTAAATTAGAAAGAAGAGAAAAATGTCATTTGGTTGTATCCAAGATTATTGAGGTTTTACCATCCCCAGTTTATTCTAAAATTATTCCTTTCATTTTGGGAAGTCCCCATCATTCTGAGGATAGCTGTATATATCACACAAAGATTAAAAAACATTGTGACTAAAATTTGTTTACAGAGGATATCTGCAAGTACACTATTAACATAAGTTGTCTGGTCTTTGCTGTAGTCATTCTTAACTGTTTTGTTGCCAAAATGTGAGAAACTATTGTCATCTTTTCCTCCTCCATATTTTGCAAGTGTTAAAAAAGAAAACTGTCTACTTCTGCTACCACATAACTCACCATATCCCTTGCCAACTTTTTTCGTAATTAGTATAAGGAGAAACAATATATTAAGATAAGGTTTGTATATATGTGTGTGTGTTTATTGCAAAACTGGGCCCTTTGCAGCCTTGTATAGACCTCTACCTGCCTGATTCACTCATTATCTACAACGCTGCCATGGACATGAGGCTGTTTACTCTTTTCTGCTTTGTCCTACGTGGTGTTTGAGAAATGAAGCCTGTGAATTTCCCTGTGTGATAAGAGCACGGTGAACTCCGAGCCAACCCCTCATCCCCACCCTCAGCTTGTGTGCACAGTGAATCAGAAGTCTTGTCTGTGTCCGCTTCAGTGTTTGCCATTTCACGTCTATATCTGAGCATTTGTTTTCTGTCGTGAACAGTGTTCCTTGTCATCTGTAGCCCTTTTGGTGGACTCTCCAAATGCAGGTCAGCTGCTGCTGCCCTGCAAATAACAGGCGATTTGCTGAATCTCTCATCCATCCTTGTAACTCTATCCTTCTTAATGAAATTCTGCAACTGGCTGAGTAATTACAAATGTCATCTGTGCAGACACAGGTGGTTAAGAATGACTGTACAATTTTGAACTGTCTTTTTTGCAAAAGGAGAAATACAGTCTTATAAATGCTAAAACAGATTTCCATGAACTTTATTCTACTCTCAGACAAAAAAATTCTGAGAGAATTATTGGCTACAGAGATCAAATAGATTTGTCTTACAATGACCAACGATGCAAATGAAGATAAATTGAGGTGGAAAAATGCTGTTTCATAAGTAATCAGTGGCATCTGCCAGAGGTCACTACTGCTACTTTTAACTGTGAACACTCACCAGCTAAACTACACACTTGCCACAACCAAATAACCTCTCTCAAAGTAACTCCTCTACATCTGTTTATGTGCATAGATGCAGACAGACGCGATCCTGAAACATTACTTTTGGCTGTTAGGAAACTCAAGGTGATGATCATTATAAAAGGACTCTGACATAACCATGGGACTTGGTGAAATGACCGTGGGGGCCAGAATGGTGCAACAAGATGTTATTTACAAGTTTTTTTTTAAGACCTAGCTATCTCAGATATTAATCATGAGAATAAAGACTGTTGAATATGAAATTAAAGCCAAGCAATAATGTGCCAAAAATGAGGCCACTATACCAGCAAGTGCATCTGTTATGGGCACACAATTATGTAATTGTGGTTTGCTCGGTGAAGACTGACTATAACCCAGAGGATAAAATAAATGAAAGCATAATTTCTGTTTTGTTGGGAAAAAAAACACATTTGTTTAGCAGCTTTATAAGGAGAAGCAAAATCCTGGTGAGCAGGACCAGAGACACAGGTACCATCTCTGCTTTTATGCTAGCCAGGAAAGAGGAGGAGCCACTAAAAGTTTTGCTGGCTTAAAACTCAAGAAAGGTCCAACAGCATTTTTGGTGATTTAAGTGGTTAAACTTTCAGTAATTACTCTTCCTGGACACAGGCATGTTAGAAGGCAACTTAGTTAATCTACCCAGAGGATTCCCAACCTTAGCTATGAAAAACTTGGGCTCCCACCTGTAAAATTTTGGAAACCCAAGAACTTGTATCAAAAGAGGCTTCAACTAATGCCTTACAGGAAAAGATGTTCCAGGTGGTCATTTCTAAATACAAGTTCAATAAGTGTCTTCCTGGGTTCAAACCCAGAATTAATTGGCTGCAAAATAGTAGCAAATTAGAATCCCATATTTTACACTTCAGGAAGAGATACTCATTATCAACCAGTATGGTAATAATTATGAGATGCAATAGTAATTTGAGAGTGTTTGGGAGAATTTGATGGAAAAAAAATACATTTTTTCCTGATATCTTAAATGTAGAGATGTCAACAGTTTATCTCTGGGGATAAAGTACAACTTTTTTTAACATCGCAGCTAGTATTATTACTCTTTGTTACTTTAAAAATTAAATAGTCTTTTTTAGAAAAAATGTAAGCACTTAAGCAATTTCTGATTGAAATCATTGCTTTTAATAATATGTAAAAGCTGTGTGTAAAGAAAACTATACTGAATGAGTAGAAAGTGCATCCTTACTTGTTTTAGTTTAGACTCCTTAGCATTTTAGACCACATATTTGAGTAAATATTCTTCTACCTGTCTTAGAATGAAGCAGGTAAATTAAAAGATGACAGTATTATAGAACTGCTCCTGAACCCCTGGAGGAGAGGAGAGACCAATTCTTATTTTAAGGACATCTAGAGATTCCTTTGGGAGGTTGAAAAAGGTCTAGATGACCTGAAACTCAAAAAAAAAAAAAAAAAATACTAGCAGTTACTAAATTTCTATTTATCTCTGCTGTACTAATGTGTGAGCAATGTGTTGTGCATAATACTGTGGTTGGTCGTGGTCAGTACATTCTGTAAGTATGTATAGTCTGTGAGTAATCGATTTGCTATTTTTGTGTGTAGAAAAAAATAAAGTGCTGTATCCCATTTAAAGGCCAATTCCCATCATCCAGTAGGCACATGTACAAAAGTGAATAAAGCCAACAAAAGTGTGTGTGTATTCAGGAATTTGTCTTTTCATTTTTTCAGGTCAAAGGGGGCTGGTTTTATGCTCTGTCTCTTTTTCTTCTTTGAGAGTAGATAACATGATTATCACAAAGGCTGACTATCTCAGTCAGTACAATGGCATATTACTAAATATGCCAGGGCTAATTAACCACTCCATTAGTCACAGGTAAGGTCAGTTCTTTGATCTCTGGGACGAGTTACATTCCTCATACATCCTCTCTGCGTCCAGTGTGACTAGAATGTACATCCTGCAGGTATGATTGTGTACATGCCTAGAATGAATTACCTAAATCCTCAAAGCATTTATAGGCAAGCAGGAAGAAACAGCAGTCCAAAAGCCTAAGAAGGGCTAATGAAAATATATTTTCACTGTCTACACATAAAAACCTACATATCGAGTAAATATAAGTAGGATATCCCCATACGTATGCACATATAAACCCGTTTTATTCAGACTAATATATTTGAACAAATCACAGATTTAAACAACTCATTGGCAGCTATATCTTTCCATAACTTTTCTGTTCTATGACCATTAACACTGGACCCTTATTAATTGGTAATACTCCTTGGTAGAAAATTTTTGCCTTGCTTCCAAAATTCTAGTTAATGTCTTACTGAGACTGGTACCCAAGTCACTTCAAAATATTACTGCTGTTCTTAAACACCTAGTGTTTCACCTGAAAATGACACAGAAGAAAGCCAGTGTTATGTTTTGGACACTCTACTTGGATATTTTTCAGTGTGTTTATCTGCACAGGCTAGTAAAAGTCTTATCCCTCACCCTTTTTTTAGACATATCCCCAAATTTGAAAAGCATGTTTGGTCACTCAAAGCAGAAAAGAATTGAAGGAATTCTTGAGATCAGCAAAACAATTTTTACCAACACGAAAAATTAAAATTAACAAGAGAGTACAGGTGATTTGGGTAGAATCATAAGATCTGAGCAACTGGGTGTCCCTTAAGAGGGACTCAAAAACTGAATTACTATTATAGATGATAAATGACTTTGTGTGAACTAGATAACCAAAATCAGAGTTATTAACCAGAAAGTTCAACATTGAATAAGAATTTTCATTTTACCACATTCTAATCAGTGAATTGATGTTGTTAAAATTTTTCTCATCTCAAAAGAGATGTTCTATTAGAGATCAAAATGTGTGACCCAGTTTCTAAAATCCAATATAATTTGACCCTGATTCCTTGACTCTAAAACTTTTGTTGGCTGGTTATTGGACTGAAGATAAATGGAAATATCATCATCACACTTTTGGTAGAGAATCTTATTGGAAAAGTATGAACATAACCACTTCTCAGTAAGAGGTAAGAAAAACATTTTAATTCATCTTCATATTTGGAGAATGAATGTGCTATCTTTATAACTGAAATTAGCTAATGATAAGAATATTACACTTAACGCTACAGAAAGTAATGGTTTTTAGCTATAAAAATATATTGTTTATAGAAGCAGAATACCCGAAATCTTGACATTTATCAGTTGTTGCTGTTGCATAATGTAGAATCTTATGTAATTTCAGATGTGTATTAATTTAAATAGCACCAAAAAATTATACGTATTGGTACAGAATCATTTGTATGTGAATACTCAGCTGAGAAAGACAAAAAGTGTAGTGTAACATTTAATCACTGAAGAAATAGTAGTATTCAAAATGAAAAGTACAACTGTGTCCACGTTAGAATCTAAAGTTGTCTCATCATGATGTCTATATATCAAGATCATAAAATGGTTTATGATCAATAAAACTTTTACTTTCTACAAAAAAGAAGGAATGGTATTATTTATATAAGGATGAAGATATTTTTGATTTAAATATAATCCCAGCTTAATTGCAAATTTGATTTTTAAATGGATGGTAATATAAAAATTGAACTGATGACTTAGTTTTACCTTCAAAACATTTAGAATATGATTTTTTCTACATCTCACTTTTCATAATAAATGTAACATGGAATTTTAAAGATTTTCATTTTTGTTGATGTTATTGCTGTTGTTACTGCTGTTGAGCTTGTTCTTTCAGCCCTAAATGTTCAGAGCCTATGGATTTCCCATGTGACACTTTTTTGCTAAGAATCTGCGGGAGAGTTGAAAGTATTTAAAATGAAAAAAAAAAATCTCCTTTATTTAAAAGAATTCCCATAGGATCAGTAATGTCTCTAGGCCCCAGAAACAGTAGTTTTTCCTGTTCTTGATGGCATGAAGAGTGTGTGTGTGTGTGTGTGTGTGTGTGTCTGTGTCTGTGTCTGTGTCTGTGTATGTGTATTCACAGTGTGCTTATCTAAGCAGGTTAAATGAGTGTTCTCATTTGGTGAATGATGAGAGCTTAATATGGATGGAAATAGAGGTAGATGGGGTACAGATGCCTAGAATTCTTTCTTTATTTTGCTCAGATGCCTCTTGCCCAAGGCCATCTGGGTGTCTCTCCTGTAGTTCCAGCCTCTCTGTTTAGTCGTAACTAAGGAAATCCTGGTTCTATCATCTGTATTCATAGAAGGACATAGAAATTCCAACCATGTTCTTCATTCTGGTTTGACCATTAAGAAAACTAACACAGGGCCAGTGAGACAGCTCAGCAGACTAAGCGCCTGCTTAGACAAGCATAGGGACCAGGGTTCGATCCCTGGTCCCACATGCTGTGCCAGCCCGACCCCTAGACTCACTGAGCCAGTAACTGACTCCCAGAGCTGTGGCACACCTGTAATCCCAGCACTGGGGAGGCTAAAAACAGGAGAAGCACTATGAGTCTGAGCTGCATAGTGAGACCCTATACCAAATACATAAAAACAAAAAACAAAACAAAACAAAAAAATCACCTAACAGTGTACTTTGGTTCCTTTTTAAGATTTTAGGTTTATTAACAATGTTAAAAATCTTTTTAAATGGGAGGGGGGCTTAGAAGCTGGACTTAGTAGCCCAGGCCTGTAAGTCCAGCACTGGAAGGCTGAATCAGGAGAATCCTAGATTTGAGTTCCTCGTGGGGATTTTGAAAAGACCTTGTCTCAAAATTAAAAAAAAAAAAAATACCTAAAACTTTCTGATGGTTGAGCTGGATACAAACAGCTTGGGTTTAATTGCCAGTAACAAGGTAAAATAATTAATGTTTCAAAACATGCAGAAGCCATGTTCTCCCTCCAGGTAATGTGTACATGGAGCCAATTTGAACCTTAAGTGGTACCCAATGCTGTCCTCACCTAACTAGACATTCACTCCTGGCAAAATGAAAAACTTAAACAGCATGTATTTCCCCAAACCATTCCGAGAAAGGCTGATCAGGCAGTGGTCCTTGGTGGGGCAGAGCTGGTTTGCTTTCTTCCATAGCTGTTCACATCGCACCCACGGCATCAGTATTCCTAGGCACCATTTCTAGCCAACAGTTCTCAGAAATCCACATCTTCAGTGTTGTGTAGTACATGGAAGACCAGCCTTCTTGGCATGGCGTGACTTTACTGGGCTGATTGTAAGCTCAAAGCCCCTGTTTCTTAGGAAGGCATTCTTTTTAAAAAAAAAATAATTTTATTGATAAAGAAAGAGCAATGAGATAGTTTCAAAACAGGTTAGGAGGACAGTTACAGTAATTAATACATTGCATGTTGTTGTCTTCATAGTATTTATTCATAGTACAAGATGAAGACATGACATCTGTAGCTACTTTCTCTTAGTTCAATGAGAAGAAAGATTTGTACTAATAGTGTTTAGGAAGGCATTCTTTAAAGCCCCATTAGAATCACTCTCCATCAACCACAAGTCTTAGTTCAGACTGCTATCACAAATATCCTTAACTGGTGGCTTTTAAATGATGTAAATTTGTTTTTCACAGCTCAGCAGGCTAGGAAAATCCCTGCCTTTGCTCATAGATTACTCTCTTGCCATGTCCTCATATGGTAGATGGGTGAGGATATCTCTGAGGATATCTCTGTCCCTTTTATAAGGGCCACAATCCCATTCTTAAGGCTCTACCACCGTAAAGCAATTTCTTCCCAAAGGCTCTGCCACTTTATGCCACCACCTTGGGTGCAAAGATTTCAACATCAACTTTAAGTGGATACTAGCATTCTGACCACAGCACACACATTCTTAACTCATGTGCCAACATTATTTAATTTTTTCAATACGATTCTCACAGTGATAAAAACTTTAGTGCTAATGACTATATTAACCATGCTCTGTAGCTATTTCTAAATGTAGCATGAAGGACTAACATAGTTGAAATTCAAATTGTCAGGGTGGAAGCTGAAGGAGCTTGCAGAAACTTATGGTGGGAGTGTTGGCATCTCAGGAATGATACTTTCCTCTACCTTTTTTAGTTCCTCTTGACACTTCTCAATCAAACTGTGCAATAAATTTGGCCTGACATTAAAAAGGAAAACTAAGCAAAATGTCATGGTCAAAGATATCACCGGTGTTTAAAAGCAAGAGTTACTAAAGGGCTGGAAAGTTATTTGCTTATTATAAGGGTTCTCTAAGTATGAGCGGAAACAAAAAATTATAATGGCTATGTGTCCAACATCCTGATGGGCACATACACCCAACCTTGTATGATACTGTATATAAATGTACATTGGCTTTGGTCCACTTGTAGACTGGCAGATACATGAGACATAAATCAGGTCATTAAAGAGATGAATAACAAATCCTGATGCTTGGAAACAGAGGGCTCTGGGTTCAGATTTCATCTTTGAATCCAGCTGCCTTCCTTGACTAAGTCATTTTGTCTTTTTGAAGTTCAGTGCATTCCTCTGCAAACTGAGGGTAACAATACTTCTTACTTTGCAAAATTGTAGGAATTAAAAGATAGAAGCCAATAAATGTCAGTTCCTTTTACTCCTACCTCTTCATAGCTGGAACACTGTCTATTAAAAACCTGGAATTTTGCCGTTTTCTTCTTTCTAGTAAACTTTTTATAAATCTGGATAAATACCAGGAGTTATTTGAAATGCAGCTTTGAGACACATTAAATTTGTCTAT